CAACATTGCTACCTAAGGTAGGTGTAATCACGTTGTATGCACAACTCATTTTAAATATTAGACTTTAAAATGGTTTTATAACACATTTTTGATGATTTCTAAGTAATTTACAATAAATTTAAACTGATTTCTCGCAGCTAAAAGTGGTTTTGACTAACGCTCTTGGATTATGAGTTTTGACTGCAACATACACATTTTTGTTGCAAAATAGTTTCTTTTACAACTAAATAAAGTGCCATAGTGTTTGCTTTGATGTGCCATACTTGCTTTTCATTCATACATTTCTGTCTTGAATTCTATTAAAAGTTGGTGTCCTTACATGATTGTTGAGACAAATATGAATAAATAACATAACGTAATAATTGCACGAGCAGATAACAAAAACCTTGGTGTTGTCGACAGCGAAAGTTGCATAAAAGTTTTATTTATCTTTAGAGAAACAGCATCTAAATATATAAAAGGAGAAACTGACTGACTGACTGACAGATCAACGCACAGCCTAAACGGTTAAACGTAGGCACTTGAAATTTGGAAGGGACGTAGCTTAGGTACCGTAGAGGTGCACTAAGAAAGGAATTCCCGAAATTCCCACGGGAACGGGAATTAGCGGGAAAAACGGGATTCACGCGTACGAAGTCGCGGGCGGCCGCTAGTATGAGATAAGTAAAGTCTTACCTACTATGGTAAGGAACACAATTGGAAATACATTTAAGGATTATTTGATAAAAATGTAGACAGTAAAATAATAATCTCAAAATGTAAAAATTTTACAATTTCAAATACACTCGGCGTCAAATAAATCGCACCTCCCGCGTCAAACACTTCCAAACACGTATGCATCCCCACTTCCCACCAATAGGTATTGGTACCATTTGAAAGCCTAGTTCTAAACTTCATTTCATTAAAGGAAAGGTTTTTACCCCAAAAATGTGTCTTTAGAAGGATCCAGTGTCTCTTCTTAAAACGACATGACAGGTAGTTACGCTTGAACCAACTTTTATGGTTATAAAAGTGTTAAATTGGGATTAATCGCTATCCATTTGTTATCCACAAGAATTGGTCCCAAAAGTGAGCCCCAACATTAGTTTTTTTCAAGTCACATTTATGGCCTGTTAATTGTTTATAAAAAAAAAGAGTTTTTCTTTAAGTTTAATAGTGGGATTTCAAATAACACTAATATTTGTGGAGCACCATGATTGTGTCAGAAGAAAATCTTTTTAGTTATTGTCGCAGGAGGTGCGATTTGTTTGACGCCGAGTGTAATAAAACATAAACCTTGTTGACGTAGGTAAGTGAAAGCACAGGTGATACTTACGCCCGTATTCACAAACGATGCTTGCTTATGTAAAGCAGCAGATCGAACGCACAGCGTTGAATAGAGCTCTGTGATTGGTTCGTGTGTCACCCTGTGCGTCCACGCGCACTGTGAGACCTCAGACCTCATAGTAATGTTTGTGAATACGGGCGTTAGTTACAATCACTAATTTTTATTTTATACCTACTATCTTTTGGAGTTCCGAATCGCGGATTAAGGAATTACAAAATTAATTTTCAAAGCGGACTAGTAGGTATCTAATTCCTGAGATTTTGATTAGCGCATATTCAACCAAACAAACTTAAGCTGCTTAAAATATTAGTTATACGAATAATATTACCTAGACATAGATACTAGTAACTAGATGTAGGTAGGTATGTTTTACCTATCTGTCTTTCGAACATCACAAAGTCATTAGCCTCTTCTTAATTAAAATTTAATATCCTTTGTTTGATCACTCGATAGGTAATCTGCCATTGGCCTACATTGGAGTTACAACGTGTGACGGACCGACGGAAGGACTATCACCGGAACATGCTAATTTAGCTAGGTTATAAGATTAGTGACTTGGCAAAATTCATAATTCTATAGAAGACCTTTAGGTGACCTTCAGTTTATAAAATAACTTAATTCATATCACTGATTTTGGTAATTGTGGGGTCTGACTCCAAGGTCTTTCTGGCCCAGCGATCGTAGTTCGTGGATCGTGCGTGGCAAGGTGGACCGACGACCTGATAAAGGTAGCAGGAACTGGAAGGCGCTGGATGCAGGCTGCTACCAACCGTGCGATGTGGAAGTCATTGGGGGAGGCCTATGTTCAGCAATGGACGTCCTGTGGCTGTAATGATGATGATGATGATCGTGGTTCATCCTTGCAATGTGTCCTGCCCATCTCCATAGAGGCAGAGGAAGACCGCCTAAAAGGTGGACAGATGACATCCGGCAACAAGCTGGAATAAACTGGATGCTAGTGAAAGTGGCCGGGGACAGAAGTCGGTGGAAGGTTGAAGAGGAGGCCTATGTTCGAAGATGAACCAAAAGGCTGCTACAGATATTAGATAAGATAGAGATAGAGGTTTTGGTTATGGTCAGCATACAAAAAAAATCACCAGGTAATTTTTATCTCCACTACTTACAAGACACGGAGCACAACTGTGTTACAAAAGCACGATTTTCTCTATTTATCAAAGGCAAGTGGAAGATCAGGGAGGCCTAGGTACCTCGCGAATGACGCGTTGAGACTGGTTTTCAACCGACTTCAAAAAAGGAGGAGGTTCTCAATTCGACCCGTATGTTTTTTTTTTCTATGTTTGTTACGCGATAACTCCGCCAATTATGAACCGATTTGAACAAATCTTTTTTCGGCGTATAGGGAATACCTCAAGGGTGGTCCCATTTAAATTTAATAATAGAGAAAACAACCCCCAAGGGTGGAAAATTGGGGATGAACTTTTTTATACGCAATATCTCCGCCGAATATAAATCAATTTGAACGATTATTTTTTTGTTGAATAGGTATTATCAAAAGGGTGGTTTCATGCGAATTTGAAGAAAATATTTCACCCCCAAGGGTGGAAAATTGGGGATGAACTTTTTTATACGCAATTTTTTTAATTTTTAGTTTTTTTTTGTCGGTCTTATTTTTTAAAAAAGTTAATTATTCTCTATTTTAGTTTAGGATGAGTTGATATTTTTATTTTTGCTTTCATATTTTTGTCACGGATCCTGATCCTGAGTCGGGACTCAAAATTAAACTCATAATTATAGCTATATATACCTAAATAGGTACGTGGCGAGTCATCATACCGCATCCATTAAAGCTCGTTAAAACTGGTGAGATTAAGTTAGGTATTATTGAATATTGTAATAGAATGTAAATAACTTGCGTCAGTCTTGAAAAACCTTTCACAAATAACACCAAACAACCAATACAGTCACGGGTAAATTTTAGTACCTATACCTAACTCAGTGTTATTTGTGATGTTATATCGAGAGACAGGAATTGACAGCATTTGGGTACAGACGTGTTAAGTCAATTTGCTGCACTACATTAGAAAAACTAGCTAAAATAATGAGCATACCAAAGCGGAAACCCTGTCTTCCACTACGTCAAAACGGCTTGCCTATTAAGCCTTTTTCTACAGCCAGGTCACCGTTTCAAACCTTGAGCCCCAAAATAAAAATAAAAACAGAGATAGCACACATTTCTCAGAAAAAAATAATCTAGAAAATACAACTTTCTTTCCACCACCACCACCAACCACCTTAAAAACCATAATATTGAAGCTACAATAAAAATATTAATATTTGCCAGCATCAAACATTTATTACCGTAAATAAGCCTACTTCGTGATGAAATTAATTTTAGTAAAACTGTTTACAACCTCTGCATTAGCAGTTTAGCTCGCACGTTTGACCTACATACGATTACTGTAGAAATAGAAGTTACTAGTCTAAAATTTTAGCAAAACTTATTTATGAAGAAAATTCATACACCTAAAACATTCTAGAAAAGTGCAGCAGTTTTTTATTTGTGAAATAATTCATAATCACATCGAGATCCTTTTAAAGACAAAAAAACAACACTTATGAAATGTTCTAAAAGATAAGGAACAAATTACTCAACGTGGTTGACGTTATCTTGAACCCCTGAGATGAGAGAGTTCAGATAAGTTCAGATCTCTTTCCAATCGTAAATACAGAAATCAGAAAATTTCGTTGTAACAATTGCCGAAAAAAGTAGATGCTATACTCGTACATAAACAAGAAAATTCAAGTAAAAAAATGTAAAAAAAAATGTTTTTCCATTAGTAAAAGTCACATACTAAAATTTTTCAATAAAAATCTCCCCTTGTTAATATTTTCCAAGTCTGAAGTTAAATTTTTAGCATAATAATGGTAAATTAATTAAATATTATTTTATATTATTCTTTTTTGCAACCTTTTTACATTCAACATTTTATAAATAAACAATCATTCAGCTATAAAAACGTTACGAAATATGAAAATTAGGGTTGCAACTTTTGTTCGTGCATTTTTAAATATATTTTTTAATACTTTAGATGTTAGTTTCACCAGAAAATGAAATGGCTAATGTAGATTTATCATACAGTTTAATGTAGGTAAGTAATAGAAACGAAGTGTTGAAATAAACAGTTGTACCTACATTATACTAGTGTTACCGTGTGCTGACTGAACAAACAAATTTATTTACTAACATTTATTTATTCTACATTAATGTTAATGCCATACAAACAAATGCTTGTTTGTTCCAGACCAGATGTTCTTTTATTGTACCTACGTAATAAAACTTTAATCGCCTTTAATAAAAAAATAAATTATATTATCTCTTTAAAGTATTTGTATAGATAGATCTACTTAATCCATATAGATAGGTGGGTCACGTTGCAATTAAATTGCAAGTGCACGATAACGCGCGAAAATGCCGTAATAAACCCATCTTGATACGCGCCACGCAACACGGTAATCAGCTAACCTAATCACATTATTATCAGCACACAAAACGAAAACGATCCGCTCATTACAAACATACACAATTCGTACAAATTAATTGCAATTCAAGGGCACGCCGAAAACTTGGAGTAGCCCAACGTAACTGTGATAATGATAAGACCTGTGACAGCAACGCATGCGCAAAATATCTTCAATGGACCTATTTAGAATTCGTCCGCTCGCGTCAAAACGTGGTCTCGTCGCTGATCGCTCGCTTTAGTTTCGTCGCAAAGCGCGTTCGGTGCGGTCGCAAGCGCGCGCGCCCTCTGCACGACATTGGACTGAAACTCACGCACGATATTCGAACTAATGTGTATTTGGTAAAGGACAAAAAATATTTTATGAAACAAAATGTGTAAGACGGAGATTCTACTCGCCGTCGTCGCTTTATCCATCGGCCTAGTTAACTCATGGGGTGAGTATCTCAAAATCAGCTGATACGTTACTTTTTGACACGTGCTATTTTACTCCAACTATGTATTATGTAATTGGTTATATTAGCGGGACGTCAGATGACTTTCAAGCGCGGGTAGACGGTTGATTTTTCATTCAAGAATGTGGTATTTCACGGGTGTCAATAAAGTTGTTAATTGTTTGGCAGTCGGCGCCATAACGCGGGGGCCCCGAGTCACGTAGGCCACTTGCGTACCCGACCAAGTTTAGGCGACCCTCTTCCTCGTGCCTTTGCAAACTTATAGGCGACCGACGTCATTTTTTCGGGTAGCGTTCCTGAAAAGTGGAAAGCGGTTGCGGCGTTTTGCAGAAAAGCGCGTTTTACCTACGTTTATGATTTTGACCGCCAATATGCTGAATGAGAGTATTGAGTATATTACATACAACGTTATTTTTATAATGTAACAAAGTCACCATAAATAATAATAAAATTTAAGCAATAAATTATAATTGAAGCAACGTGGTTCATGCGTAAAACTTTATCTTTATCATGTATAAAGTAAACAATGTAATGTAGGCTCAGCCAGTTGATATGAATTATTTTTTAAGTTCTTAAGAACACAAAAATGATATAAAAAATAAAATATGTATCACTCCAAACATTCAGGTCAACAGTAGGTACTGTTTGTTACAATAACCTTATGTTTATTTTCTTAACACAGAATGCCAATCATTTGCGTGATCTTATTCTAATACAATGATCAAGAATGTTATTGAAAACGTGATTGATATTTACATACCAACTAAAGATTATAAACTAACAACAAACATAATATTAATATCTGCGATATCTACCTACCATAGTATTAATTTATTACTGAAATAGTTTATCTACTTCATTTGTTTTTTTTTCGCATTCCAGAGCATATTTTTTGGTTCAAACCAGTTAATACAATGCTAATGCTAACCAGTTTTGTCAATTGAGCCAGTATAATTACTTATTATCAAATATCATGTGTATAAATTCTGGTATGGTACCTATAGTAGGTACGAACTCTGCTTAGTTTGGATTTGGACTACATGACGCAGTTGTTAAATATCTAATCTACATAAGTAGGTAATTATTAAGCCAAAATTTATTTATAAAAGAAAACCGGTGCCTAAAAGTAGGAAGTAAAGTTGTTATTGGTTGAAGAAAAATAATATATTTGTCGTTTAAAAAACAAAACGTATCAGTCGATTTGTATTGTAAAATAAGAAAGAGAATATCCAATTCCTGAAAAATGGTTAAATATTCCTAAACTAGCTGTTAAAAAAATATATAAAAATTTTCTTTTTGCTTGTTTTGTACAAGTCGTGTCAACAATTAAAATATATAAGTAAATTATTGACAACCCCATTAACACTCTAATAGTAATTTCAATCATTGCAATTTTAAAATTGCTATAATTTTGTTTTACAACTTTTTAACATATTGTGACAACCCTATTATGTTACGCAACAAATGTTAGATCAGTCGCGTGCGCAGGTAGGTACTTGAATTAGGTATAAATAAAATGCGTCATTTATGTAGAGGTTAGGAACAAATTTTTTATATAGTTAATTACATTTTAATTAGAATTTCAATTCCTAACTACAGTGGGCTGAGTGCAAGTTTACATCGTGAGCGCGTTTAAAAATGTATGAAAATTTTAGTTTTTGAACTTAACTTTGACCGTAACTTTGACGATAACCGGTGTTTTTTGTATGGAGTTTGACAGATTGTTGACGTTCGTCAAAGTTAAAGTAACATGGTGCAACCCACCCTTAATGTCATTTTTTTTAAATGAAATGATGAAAACTCACACTCAGCCTGTAGAACTGTAGCTTATTTTATGTGTATGAGCAATAGGCAAAGAAATAAATCTAAAATTAATAATAACAAAATGTTCACTTTAAATTAATTTGTCCCCTATGGAATCGAACCAGCAACCGTAGCTCAAAATCGGACGTCAACATTGATTGATAACTATGTAAATAAGTAAAGTTTTTGCATTATCACCGTTATGTATGAAATTCGATTAAATGCTGATGATGACACTTAAAGCATCATCAAGTTTCCAGCTGTTTCCAGCTGTTACCAGAACCTCGATGTTTATCTAATTTCTAAATTAGGTAATTTAGAACCTATGTAGGCCTATGTTCTTGAAATCCAATGTCAAATACAATAATAATAATCTTAGCAAATAATTCATTATGGTACTTAAAAACATTAGTTCAATTGTTTTGAACTGTAAGTGTTAAGAGAATGGCAAAAAAAGTTAATCAGGGACACGTTAATTTATTTTTGTGTCGAAAACAACTCACGTGGGTGGATATGTGGCCGTCACTGAAACGATTACAATTATTGCAACGTGATTTGTTTTTTTTTTTACATTTTTTTTTAATCATAATTATAATAATAGCCATAGAAATCAATAATTTACAAAACGAACTTTTTTGGGTGCACTTTTTTAAAAAAAATCTTTAAATATTGAAAAGTGTCCTTAGCAATTAAACATAAGGTTACTAGGTAACTACTAAATACTTACCGAATTTAAGGACAAAAGGAAAATTTAGGTAAGCAAAGAACTGCTTAATCTAAACAAGTTGTAAAAAGTAAATAAAGCGATAGTCACTCATTATATACTTTACTTTATTGAACTATTTACAGTGCATATAAATGTAAATGATACCTACTAGACTGAACACATGCGACTTTGCTTGTTACATAAGGTCACGCAGCAAAAAATGGGTACAAGAACGAAACTAAGTCTAAAACTAAATCTTCAGAAATGTCCGTGCCCCAGTTTTGAATACAATGGTTTGTGACAATAGGTATCAGAGGTTACGTGGTAGTAATTAGATCGCAATGAAGTTTCTTCGAAATTCGACACATAATTAAGTAATGTGCAGTAGGTCTGACGTTAAATAATGTAGAAATGTCAGTGTCAGAATATGCGTTCGTTCTAGTTTATGGATCAAAATGTAATGTAAATAAAATTGAAATTAGTCAAGTAATGGAAAACCGTAATTTATCAATGTCTGTACTTATTTAACTATGAATATTAATTTTTGTTTAAAAGGTTTCTATGAAATCGAGCAGTGTTTCGAATTGCCAGTCAATTTGCCTTTTAATGAAGTTCAATACTTAATACCACGGTAAGCCATACATTGAATCTTAGGATTGGTAGAGTTTCAATATTTTTAACCAATCACATAACAGAATCTGCCGTTTGATGTAGTGGTTCGGAAACGGACTACTATGCCGAGAGGTCCCGGGTTCGATTCCCGGCCGGGCAGAAATTGAAATTATGAATTTCAATTTCTGTGACGGGTCTGGGTGTTACTATGTATAATATGTATGTATTTACAAAAAAAAAAAAGTATTTAAGTATGTTTATATCCGTTGTCTAGTACCCATAGTACAAGCTTTGCTTAGTTTGGGACTAGAAGCGTAGTGTAAAATGTCCAAGGATATTTATTTATTATTATTTATTTATTTAATCTACGAACAAATTAAAGCAACTTTTAAGGAATAACTTATTATTCATTTAATTCTACTTGATTCAGTTTTTGAGATATTCCATTAAAGCTAATTCTGAGCATTATTTTGTAATTCGGGCCTAAGTCTCTACAGGGTGTTAGGTAAATGGGTATATGAGCCGACACTAGCCCATGTTAACATGGGCATATAAATGGTATGGTGAAATCAGAAATTCGATATCATCATTTTAATTTTTTTAAATTTTCATACAAAATAAATTTAATAAAATCCGATTTGTATGAAAATTAAAATAATTAAAATGAAGATATCAATTTTCTGACTTCACGATACCATTTATATACCCATGTTAGCATGGGCTAGTGTCGGCTCATATACCCATTTACCTAACACCCTATATAGTTTACGTGGATCTGTTTCGATTTTATTATAGAGTGGAATGAGTGGACCTTCTGAATCTTTATAAATTGTGTACAGGGCGTGGGACGGTAATTTGCTCACTTACAATGCAACCTCGTCGGAGGATGAAAATGCGGATCAAACGCACGCGAGGATCTTAACTCTTAACCTTTGCATAAAAATGAACTTCGCAGTGTAACTGAAACGTACTTGAAACTGGGAAAATGTTAATAACTGTAGTATTACTTAGGTGCCTTTGTATTATCTGGAATCTCATAATGACAATGCTTTTTATTGCTTTATCCATCATTGGTAGAGTCGACATTTTTACTGAACTTTCTACCGATTTTTTTTATTTGAAAATCTGTTCTATTCTCCCCCAATAGGTAGATATTAATAAAAAAAATAATAAAAAAAGATCTCGTATACTAATTTTAAAGTTTAATCACGTTAAAATTTATTTTTAGAACTCCCAATGGAGGTATAATCACTCTGGAAAGCCCTCTAGCTGATTATTATGGCGTACGTGCACTTTCCGTTGCATTATTATTACCTAATGGGTATGTAAGTAGGTACAAAGGCGGTTATAATAATATGGCGTTATATTCCTTATCGAAAGGAAGTCCTAACAGTATTAACTTAGCACTTACCTGGAACCTGCAAATTCAAGGAGTTATTGACAGATTTTATCGTAAGTGGTTCTCAGGCTGATTTGCCTTAGTACCTACTTGATTATTGTACAGTCAATAGTACAATAGATAGTATATCTTACATTCTTATTGCAAAATGCACTTACTGTGGCCACAAGTGTACAGCTGAAGGATGATTGATGACTTTCAATATTTGAACCTATCAGTTTTTGTTATTGGCTTAAACGTCAAGAGACGTGTATTAGAAAATATTTAAATACATACATAAAATACCTATATCTATTACTAGCTGTGCCCGCGACTTCGTACGCGTGAAAACCAGTTTTCGCAACATTTTTCATTGTTGCTCTGCTCCTATTGATCGTAGCGTGATGTTGTATAGCCTATAGCCTTCCTCGATAAATGGGCTATCTAACACTGAAAGAATTTTTCAAATCAGTCCAGTAGTTC